GTGAGCGAGCGGCTGTGTGGTGTTTAGTTGCCGACTGAGGTTAAACCACGACACCTAGAAATTATATTCTAAAACCAGCTTAATATATTTGTAGCAGAATTGTAGTATGGATTAAGGTTTCTTTTGCTGTTACAGCTCAGTTGTTTTCTAGAAATTTTGTAAAACAAGTCTAACTGCTGAAGTTACTTAACTTCAAATTAATGAAGTAATACCAAAATAGAGTAAAAGTACCGGGGGTTATGAGCTTTGGAAAGACTTTTGACTGTCCAAAACCAATCCTGTTCAGACATGCAGTGCTTGTTGCTGTTTTCAGTTTGGGCGCTATGTAATCTTTTGTTTAAACTTCAAAATAGTCATACAGCTCTCCTTTCTTCTCAGATCGAGACTCTGAGATATGATCTTCAGGCTGCACTGGATGAGTTACAGGATGTGAAAGAGGAACGCTCTTTTTACCAAAATAAGTCTGACAGACTAAACCAAGAACTTAATCATGTCTTAGGAGGGCATGAAAACCGTATCATCGACGTAGATGCTCTATGTATGGAGAACAGGTGAGTGCATTGCAAACCTTACTGTTTCCCTAGAACAAGTAGGGTATTCCTTTAACAGGAGCATCAGGAAGTCAGTCACAACAAAACTTTAAAGAAAATGTATCCAAGAATAAAAGTTAAGAGATTTTGGTAATTTTTGTCTGTTTTGTTTGTACTGTAGCTAACCATCAAATAATATTGAGAAAGTTAGGCTGCAGGAAATTACCAATGTTTTATTTGGCTACAGAGATGTCAGTGATATTCCCAAATAGAGCTAAACAAGGAAAAGGAAGAGAAGTGCAGACTTTTTATTCCCATCACTGTATGGCACCAAAAGCAAGAATATTAAAAACCAATGTCTTCAGAAACTCATAGTGAGCTGTAATGGGCTAATCTTGGATTGGAAACAGGGACTTTGAGTACCCTGAGTTAACAGTTTCGGACATAATTCTCACCACAGGGAGAGGTTGTCAACATGGAGTGATTTGCCAACAAAAGTAGCTGGTGAAATCACCCATGTAGATATTCTTGCCACTTCCTTGGGAAGAGAATGTGTTTTATGGTCTCTGCCAAGGACAACAGAGAGGAGTCACCGACAGAGCCATAGCAGATATCTCCCTTAATGTCAACAATTACCTTAAAGTGAAATAGATCTTGTAAGACACTTTCCATTTACAGAGACTTATGCTTCAGGTAGGAAAGTGTAATACCAAAGGCATTACTTCCTCCCAGCAGCTCCAGGGTTTTTTTTCTTTTCTGCGTGGCCTACAGAGTTCTGTATCAATTTAAGCCCCCTGCTCCCCTGACAGTGATAGGATTTTTTTCTCTAAAATAGTTAAATTGTCACAAACCCTAATACAGCTGCAGTTGCACTACATAAAGGAGGATAGTTTATAAACCCTTTATACATGAAAAAGATATTTTCCTATGTTGAAATAGCCGTCTAATCCAAGTCTATAAACTCTACTAGGAAGAACCATACTGTTTCAGTTAACTGTATACCATTTTTCAACTATACTGTTAAATATTCTACTTTGTGATTGCTAATGAGAAGTGCCATGTAAGTACTGGATATTGCAATGCAAAAGTTCTGCATAGTTGAGTCTTGTGTTGACATATATACAAATCTTCATGTGTCCGTCTCACAAACCTTCAAGTACAGAGGACACGAGTAAATGCTTCCTGACTATTTCCTCTAGACATAAATATATCCTTTTAGCTTCCCTCCCCAAAAACCTGAGGACCGATATAAAAATGGTTGTCAGCATGCTTGACAAATCTAACAGAAGGGCAGTCTCCTTTTCTGATGCAATTTGTTTCCCTACTTAAAGATGGGGTCAAGAGCAGTAAGATTTTGTTATTTTATCCCTCACAAAACTGCAGAGGGAAAAGAACTCTCAGTAGTTCAAAGAGAGGACATGCCAAATAGTAAAGAGGAGTGCTTGAGGCTGTACTTGAAGGTAACATGAGGTAAAGGATTACATTTCTTTTTCAGGTATCTTCAAGAGAGATTAAAACAACTTCAAGAGGAAGTCAACCTTCTTAAATCTAATATTACTAAATATAAGGTAAGATCCTCTTAGTGTATCATCTAAACTGTGCTTTGTTGTTCATGGAGGTTATTGTTCATTCTCATGTTCATATGCATTTAAAGAACAAAATTGTGTCTTCAAAGAAAAATCCACCATTAACATTCTGACGATATTAGTATGTATGCATATTACATGCTTAGTCTTCCTTGTAGGCTTCTTAGCTGATGTAGTACAAAGGGATACCCATTAAGAGTATTTTGAAAAATGAATTAAATACCTTTTTTTAGGTTCTGTGGGGGGACCCTCCTCCCGCTGGGGAGGGTCATCAGCCTTCCAGCCCGCTGGTAGGTGAAAAGTAGCAGGTTATGCAGTGTGTGGTGAATGACTGCAACTGTGTTGTCATCACAAGCAGGTCTTGTCTCCCTGTTCCCTAATGGCCACACTGTTTCTTCGTGTGTCTTAATGATTGCTAAATCTTCATTGTTCTTCCATTCCTGGGTGAAGATATATGCTGTTTTGCATGAAACCTTTGGGTCTGAATCCTGAGGGCAAAATATTCTTGCTCTTCCCTGAAGTCAAGCACTCTGTTTTCTTCTGCAAGTGATTTTGGGGTGTGGGAAGGGAGGGCTGCTTGTCAGGCCCTGAGAAGGGTTGTCTTAAGACTGTCAATAGGACTTCTTAACCATTTAGGTTCACTATGAAGCAGTCACAGCACTAATTGCTTTTTGTGCATGAGCAAAGCTCCTCAAAGTACCAAGTTCATTTCAGTGTCTGTTCACACTTACGACTTGGGTCTCGGAGTGTGAGTTGGTTTATTGGTGAGCACTGAGCATCTTGATGGTCTGGTGGGTTTCACAGAACTGTAATTGTTTTGGAAGAGCTGGACTTCTGTAGCAGCATCATTCTGCTACTAATTCCTGAAAGTCAGTATTTGCTACTAAAGGGGCTTCTAGAAACTCTGACAGAGGAGTTTGAGATTTCCCTTTGAAGCCTATCTAAAGAAACATTGGGGAAAGTCTGATTTTGTTCCCAGCTGGTATTCTCTACAGGATACTGCAGTATCTTCACTGGCACTCAGCAGATTATTAAAAAAATAGGCAAGTCTTAAAAATGCATTGGGGGAGTGGGTGGGAGAGACTACAATAAAGTGATTGCAATGAAACAGAATGAGTCTTCGTAACATTGCAGACTGTTTTGGCTGGAGAATAATACTCCAGGAGAGTCACAATCCCTTAGGTTACTGTGGGTGTAAGCTCCAGGCCCTGCAGAGTTGTTCTGGGACCAAAATCCAAACTTCTAGATTCTTTACTCCTAATGAAAGGATTTGTTGGCTACTGTTTTTCTAAATAAGATATTTGTTGTTTCCTTAGAATGCACTAGAGAGACGAAAAAATTCAAAGACTCATAGTAGATCCAGTAGCAGTGCTCTGACTGGAGTCCTGTCTGCAAAGCAAGGTATTGCATAAATGCAGCATAGTGTTGCATATCCCATTGAATTCCTTCCATCTTACCTCTTAATTTCAGTAACCTTTTCCTCACCAACCAAACCAAAATCTTTCTTCTCTTTCCTGTTTATTATCATGTGCTAATTTTTGTCCTTTTCTCAGTTGACTTGACAATATAAAATTTGCCTCTTGAGTACTGCTTCTCCGTTTGTTACTCTTTTGCCATTCATTCTCTCCCCTGTCAGTTTTATCAAATTTTTTTTTGATCTCTAAACCTCTCTGCAACTTTGACCCTGAAAAATCACTTCTTTATTCATCTCTTTGCTCTGCTAACAATGGCAATCACAGTTCATATTCCAATGAAAAATAGACTGGGTGGTAGAGGAGGGGCCCTAAGTCAAGTTTTCTGCTCATGTTCTTGGAAGCTTTACATTCAGATGTTTCGCAAGAAATCCTTTTGTCCCATGTTTCTTCATGGGATTGCAAAATGGAGTAATCTCTTTTTCCCCCTTCAAAGAAAATATCAAGATTAGGAAAGAAAGGAGACGAGAAAATTCTTTGAGACAAAGAGGCACCCTACTGTTTAGGTGTGGTGTTTTCGATTAGGAAAGAAAGGAGACGAGAAAATTCTTTGAGACAAAGAGGCACCCTACTGTTTAGGTGTTGGTGTTTTCATACACACACAAGATCAATAGTATTTGTCATGGTAGGTTGAAACTCACTTTTCTGGTTTTGACTTGTCTTCTGTCCTCTTCTCCATGTACTTGTATACATTTTTTATATATATATATATATATTAAAAAAAAAAAATTAAAGGGGCAGAGCCAGATTCTAGTTACAGAAGTTAGTGATACTAGTGAACCTCCTGATGTGGTTGAGAGGTACAGGCTCTAAGCTGCAGAGGAAGAGTTCATGGGTGACTGTATTTTCACATCAGTCTTAAATAACCTGAAGGATACAATAATTCTAAAAAGTAATATAAAAGCTTCCTTGTGGGCTTATGTTTTAATGTAAGTGGGAGAGAAATGACCGATTTTTACCAATCTGTAGGTCTGTAGAAGAATGAGTTTGTTTCTTTCTGAATGAAAATAATTTTCCAAAAGCAGAATTAAGTTAACAGAAGATATGTCTGCTTATACTTGTTCTGGCAATTGCTGTGGAATAACGATGAGCTTAGAAAGCCACCATCTTTATGCCAGCTAGAGATTATATTTCTGGTCTTTTGGCTTTGTTTATTAATTGAAGGAAAAAAATAGGTATTCATTTAAGTAATGAGAGTAGTTGTTTAATGCTAAGTAAATGCTTTTGTCACATCTCTGTGCATGAGAAGCCAAAACTCATTTGTGTTTTTAACATTATAGTCCAAGAGTTGTTGTCGGAGGATCATGGATGTAGCCTACCAGCCACACCACAGTCCATTTCAGATCTCAAATCACTGGCCACTGCATTGTTGGAAACTATCCATGAAAAAAACATGGTCATACAACACCAAAGGCAAACCAACAAGTAGGTAGCATGACTTCTAAGTAAAATAGAACTTACCAAGCAATGGAAAAGTCATAGTTTTGGGGGAGTTTCAGGGAAATGGGAAGGAAGGTCCATTTTCACAGAAAATTTATTGTCATTGTTAACTGGTGATCTTAACTAATCTTTAGTTTTTAAGATCAGATGTGTGTTTAGAGAAAAATTACGTTTTCAAAGTAAAGTCTGGGGTTGACACAGACCTGTCTGCCTCTGCTAGGCAAGGATTGGTTTGCTGCTCAGGTTGAAGACAAACCATAATAACACTGGGAGGACTTCTAGCAGGTAGTCTGCAGGGAGGGCTAAAGAAAAGCTGCCGGGAGGAAGGACACCCTTGAACTGGAGGAGAAGATATGTGATAATTGGTTGTTAATGTAGGAATTTGCTAATGAACACTGATGGGAATAGTAAATGTTGCACCTAGGAAAGGGTCTGAAAAGATTTAGTGTAACATTTGTCACAGGCTAGTGGCCTATGTGTCATACAAATGATAGCTGTTGCTCCTACAGTTACTTTGCCAAAAGTTGTAGGAGATAAACACAGTTGGATCGCTACTATATGATTTTTTAAAAATCTGAACTGAACTTTCAAGGAGAATTTGTTTACTCTTAGCTGTTCTACTCATCAGTAGAATTCTTTGTGTCTCGCACAGCTCCTATCATGGCAGAATATAATCATTTTTGACACATTTTCTGACATTCTGATATTATTGTCCTTATACAGTGTATGAAAATCAGAGCTAGGAAGTGTTCCTTGATTCTGCACTCAGTTTTTTTTACTTTTTTTTTTTTTTTTTTAAACACTGGGTCACTAATG